TCAGTGTCCTTCTTGAACTGTGGTGCCCAGAAGTGGACACAGTACTCCAGGTGAGGTCTGACCAGAGCAGAATACAGTGGCACTATTACTTCCCTTGATCAGAGGTTGCTCAAAGTCGGACTCTCCAGTGAAAGGGCTCCTGGGATTGCACTTGCAAAAGCTTGTGGGATTGCTAGGTGCTGCTTTTGCACCATTTTTGCAGTTCTCATGCTCTTTAGGGCTGTTTTTGCCCTTTTTGTGTCACTTCCGGGTTCGTTGCAAGGGAGTTGGGCAGAACCTCAAGGGTCATCTAGACCAACTCTCTGCACGGCAGGAACCTCAGCTAAAGCATCCATGACAGATGGCCATCCAACCTCTAAGGAAGGCATGCACAACCTCCCAAGGTAGACTGTTCCACTGTCAAGCAACCCTTACCTTCAGAAAATTCTTCCTAATAATAATAATAATAATAATAATAAATAAATAAATAAATAAATAAACTTTTATTGTCACTGCACCACCTGTGTGCAGTAAAATTAAACAAGCCCCCCCCCATACACTCAGTCTTGTTTGCGCTCTGTGTGCTTGTCGGAAGTCAATTGCACCACTTTTTTTTCCAATTCAGCAGCCCAACAGCACACAGATAAAAACTGTTCTTTAACCTCTTGGTGCAGCTGACTATACTTCTGTATCTCCTGCCTGAAGCTAGGAGATTAAAGAAGTGCTGGCCAGGGTGTGAGTCGTCCCTAAGAATTTTCCTCTCTCTCCTGAGTCAGCGGTCTCCCATGAGCGAACTCCGGGGACAGCCCATGATGTCATGTGCTGTATTTGCCACCCTCTGTAGAGACTTCCTGTCCATGGCTGTCAGACCAGCGTACCACAGTGTTATACAGTATGAAAGGACACTTTCTATTGTGGCCCAGTAGAAGGAGATCATCAATTTTTGTTTGACATTGTTCTTTCGCAAGACCCTGAGGAAATGGAGTCCCTGTTGGGCCTCCCTAACCACCTGGGTTGTAGTGAATTTCCAAGTGAGGTCTTCACTAAGGTAAACTCCCAGGAATTTAAAGTAAGAGACTCTCTCCACACAGCCCCACCCCCCTATACAACAGGGCTAGTTCCCCTCTCTTCCTCCAAAAGTCCAACACCATCTCCTTTGTCTTGCTGAAATTTAGGTGCAAGTTGTTCTCTAGGCACCATGTCGAGACTTCTTGAACCTCCTCCCGATACGCTGATTCATCTCCACCTGTAATTAGACCCATTATGGTGGTATCATCTGCAAACTTAATAATTACAGTAGTTGTTTAGTTGGAATCTCCTTTTTTGTAACTTCAAGCCATCAGTTTGGGTGCTACCCTCCAGAGCAGGAGAAAACAAGCTTTCTCCATCTTCCATGTGGCAGCCTTTGAGATATTTGAAGATGGCTATCATATCTCCTCTTAGTCTCCTCTTTTCCAGGCTAAACATACCCAACTCCCTCAGCATAGTTTCCAGATCCTTAATTATCTTTGTTGCCCTCCTCTGCACATGTTCCACCTTGTCAACATCTTAAATTGTGGACACAGTATTCCAGATGAACCCTTAACCTAACATTTATCACAGGGTTATTATGAGGCTAAAGAGGGCAGGGGAGACCATGCGCACTGCCCTGGGTTTCTTGGAGGAAGGGCATTGTAAACATGTAATGCATTAGATTAGGGTAGCTGACATGGTGCTTTCCAGATGTTGTTGGACTATAACTCCCATCCATCCCAGCTAGCAGGGCCAACGGCCATCTTAGTATTCCCTTGATCCAGCAAGAAATGAGAAGCTTTCACATATCTGTTTGTTTGTTTGTTTAAATTCCTGGAAGCAGAAATGTAGCAGAGCAAGGAGAGAGTGAAAGTAGAACATGCCTCCCTGATGTGCTAGGGGATTTTATGTTTCCATTTAAAAAATAATGTGATACCATCACCTGCGGTCTAATGTGGTACAGTCTGTTCTACACTTCACTCAGCTTCATGGTTCTAGTAAAGTTCCAAGAGAATAGCTGGTGGCCAATTAAGTTACATTCATCCCTTTCTTGAAAACATGATTTCTCCTAAAACTATCGTTAGTCATGAGGCTGAATCACATTTTTTCTTTCTTTCTTTTTCCTTTTTAGCCTGGAGGGAAATAGATCTCTCTCTCTTTTTTTCATTTTACAATATTTGATCACTTTCAATGACATGTACCAAGAGCAGAGTAACTAAAGCCAGTTATAATTAGACCTCTGTGTGCAATTAATAATGCCTAAGTGAACTATGAGTGCTCATCAGAACACCCCTATACTTATTAACACAATTAAAAATAGCATGCTTTGGTGATCTGCAGTGATAATGATGCAACAGAGTTCATGAGAAATAGCCCCCCAAGAGTTCTTTTCCTACTGATGCAAACTTAAAAGATGGTGGCGTCCCAATGGCAAGCTTTGTTAATCTGTACAGCAGATGATTTCCCTGTCAAACAATACCATTTAAATATAACCACAGTCATTAAACCAGGTGGATACCATGTACTAGAGAAGCACATCCTTTCAAAAATCTAAGTTGAGTAGTTTACGAGCATTTTCAAATTGGTCTATGGAAAGGGGACACCTGCCAGCTGAATTGAAAGCAAACAGCAATTTCAAGGCGCTTGTTAGCAGTGCATGAATCAAAGCAATCATTTCATCTGTGCATTGTTGAACTGTGCCAATACTTTTACTTGAATTTTGTCCATTTGTCTCCTTAAATGCACTTAGAATTCTTTTTCTAAAACTTTATTATGAACTTTATAAATAATTACAAAAAATGACTCCTTTCAAACCTTACATGTCCGTAGCTTGCATTCCGGTAATTGACAAAACAGCAGCCCCCCTTGGACAAAATTTCTGTCCTGTTCTTCACCCAACGAGACAGATGTGGCTGGGCCCTTTGGATGATCGCTAGCAATTTTTGCTTGCCATTCTCAGACCATTTTTTAAATAAATATTAATATCCAAGAACAGGCATAGGCAAACTCAACCCTCCAGATGTTTTGGGACTACAACTCCCATCATCCCTAGCCAACAGGACCAGTGGTCAGGGATGATGGGAATTGTAGTCCCAAAACATCTAAAGGGCTGAGTTTGCCTATGCCTGTCCAAGAAGCTTGACAACTAACCATTCTCCCTCTAAGAACAAATGCCATGTTAAAAAAAGCCTTGCGCATACATACACACACACACTGCAATATTCATTGGACTCTCGTTATTGATCCAAATTTAGCCCATTTTATCATTGTGGGCTGGAGCAAGACTCTATCTTTAGGATGCCTGGTTGTCACTGAGGTTGTCAAACCTGTGCCCAGGTGAGAAGGCACCACTTCAGACTGCGGATGGGACCAAATGCTCCTCCATATCGGGTTCTTCCCCTAACATGCTAGTTTTCTGTGTGAGGATATTCTTCTGTACAGAGGAGTATTTATTCATGTGAGTCCCTGCTCTGGAAACTGAAGCCAAACAGCCCAGACACAGCTTGATCCACCTGAGTGACAACTAGGGTGCATTTATGTGTGTGCATCTTTTAGTGCAGTGGGAATTGCCGTGAATTAGACCTGCTCAAAGGTAAAAGTAAAGGCACCCCTGACAATTACCGTATTTTTCACTCCATAAGATGCCCTTTTTCCCTCCTAAAAGGTAAGGGGTGCTTTTGGTCTGGTGCGTCTTATGGAGCGAAAAATACGGTAAGTCCAGTCGCAAACAACTCTGGGGTTGTGGCGCTCATCTCGCTTTATTGGCAGAGGGAGCCGGCGTTTGTCCACAGACAGTTTTTCCGGGTCATGTGGCCAGCATGACTAAGCCGCTTCTGGCTAAACCAGAACAGCACACAGAAACGCTGTTTACCTTCCCGCCGGAGCAGTAGCTATTATCTACTTACACTGGCATGCTTTCGAACTGCTAGGTTGGCAGGAGCTCGGACTGAGCAACAGGAGCTCACCCTGTTGCAGAGATTTGAATCACCAACCTATTGATGGGCAAGCCCAAGAGGCACAGTGGTTTAACTCACAGCACCACCCGCATCCCACTACAGACCCACTCTTAATTATATTCAAAGTAGATGCATTGAAATCAATGAGATTCAGGTTCTTCATTACTAACTTACATCACATTAATTTCAGTGGGTCTACTCTATGCACCACTAAATCTGGATCTACCCCATGTCTTTAATCCAGCAACAGAGCAGCATGCCAACAGGATTTCAAAGAGAATGTTGCGTGCTCACTTGCATGTTAATTAGAAAGGAGCCAGAAAGGTAACATTTTGCATACAGATGTGGAGACAGGGATGAATAGCCATGTGAAAAAGCTTTGATGCCGCACCAGGAAACCAAGGACAAGAGAAATGATACCGTCCTACAGAGGATACGTTACATTATCAGTTGTTCTGGAATAACAATTATTTAACTTGCTTTAGTGATGGGTTGGCTTGTATAAGCAAGCAATTAATCAAACTAAAAGCAAACTAAAAAATGAAAGTGGGAGGGAGACTTTTGCCTCAGTTATTTTTCATGTTGAGATAAATTAAGGACACCACATTTGCTGCCTTGTGTATGCCAAGGAGTGACCTGAGTGGTATGCAAGAGAACGATGAGCAACATTCCCCCTCGTGGTTCCTGGTGGCTCAAACGTGTTGTGGATTCAGGATAACTCTCTTGCGGTGCAGTGAAGCAAACTGGTTGGTGATGGAGGGGGCGGGTGTCATTATTCCTTCTAGGGTGCTTTCAGTTGTAAAAATGCCCTGGGTTTTGTCTCAACAAAACGGACAAGTCAAAATGTGAACAACAGCAGCAAGTCATGTCTCTGGGGGTTTTCCCCACCAACATTCCAAATTTTGGATGTATTTGGATGGAAGGATTTGGGGCTTAGTCTTTGCAGAGTACAGGGACGCGATGTTAGGATATTTCCGTTCCACCTTAAAAGGGAGCAGGCTTTGTGAGTCAGAGTCTGCGTATTTCCTGTTCACAGGATGTTTATGTTTTTCTGTTGCTTTCGTTTTCTCTCTGGTGTCGCAGACACTAAAGCAGTCAGTCATGTTTTTCTGTGTTCTGATCAACGCTGAATAAACTTGTAAATAATGCTCTCCTGGGTGCAACTTTTGGCTGTGCTAATTGCTGATAGAGCGTGCATGAGTCTGGAATGTGTACAAGATATTTTCTAGAAACTCATGTCGCTGAGTGCCTACGGGAGGTAGATGGATCGTCCGGCAGACGGCTCGGGGGCCTTGATGGACTTTATCTCCCTGGCAGTATCCCAACAACAGGTTTCGGGCCCAGATTCACAGCACTTACAGGAGAGTAAGACTGCGACAGACTGCTGAAAGGTATGTGGAGGAAAAGCGAAAGTGAGGCTTTTCGTTGCCGCGGCAAAGTCCCTTTGATGTCCGGTCAGGCCTAATTGGATCTGGGAGCCGCGCCAAGAGCATTCGTGAGTTATGGGCTGCTAAGATAAGGGGTCTTTGAAGTGAATAAGACTCACGGCTCAAGTAAAAGGCTGAGATGGATCTTTTACAATCCTCAGAAGCTGCTCCGTCTCCACCAAAGCTAAATGGCCACAACTATCAGACCTGGGCAAGGTACCGTGAGGGCCAGATGAGAAAGCTTGGAGTGTGGAATACCGTTTCTGAGGACCCCCCAGCCCCTGTGACAGATGAATGGACGGCACAGGACTCAAGAGCCATGGGGATAATTTTGCTCTCAGTAGCTCCTGAAGAGTTAATCACCCTGGCTGGCAAGGCCAGTGCCCGTGAGATGTGGGACGGGCTTAGAGCCTGTCATCTCCGACAAGAGGCTGGGTCTGTGTTGCTTTATTTCAGAAAGCTGCACAGGAAGCGTTTGGAGCCAGGGGAAGACCTTAGAGCCCACGTTTTACATTTGCAGCATCTCAGACAGGAATTGACTCAGAGAGGTTTCAATATGCCTGAGTCACTGTTTGCAATTCTCATCCTGGACTCCCTGGATGAAAGCTACCATGCCGTGGCAAGTCAGCTGGCGACCCTCCCTGCGCAAGACCTCACTGCTACAAAGGTCTTGGCGACTTTGCAAAACGAATACGATAGAAGGAATGCAGCTGAGTCGGCTTGTGCGCTCCAGGGGGAGCAATGTGGGACAGCATTCCAGCCTCCAGGGGGAGCCAAGGAGTCGGCAGCTGAGAGCTCTGTTTCTCGTGGGAGCCAAGGTCATCGCCTTTGCAGAGGCCGGAAAGGCAAAGGTAAACAGAGGCAGACGCCTGCAGATGGCCAGAAGCAGAGGGAGGGTGAAGAGCCCACGCCAGTGGAAAACAAGGTTATGTTTGCTGGCACAGCCTCACCAAAGGCTAAAGGCAAGTCTGATGGCCAGGAGCAGGGGGGCAAGCTGCAAAAGCCCACGCCGGTGGAAAACAAGGTTTTGCTTGCTGCAAAGGCTGCTCCAAAAGCCAAGGCCAGGTTTGTTGTTGATTCAGGCTGTACCCGCCATGTCTCAAAGGACCGCCACCTATTTATCTCCTTCACGCCTCAGGAAGGTGAGATCCACCTGGCTGACGGAAAGACGTTGCGAATTGCAGGAGAAGGGACTGTGAAACTGGCAAGTCTGCACACTACCATCAAAGATGTGCTGTATGTTCCAGGTGCTGCAGACAATTTGCTCAGTGTCCCGCAGTTGACTGGGCGTGGTTTTGAGATTTCCTTCAAGAGGAGCGTCTGTGTCATCAGAAAAGGCAAAGAGGACATTTTGCATGCAAAGTTTATGGATGGCTTGTTCTGTATAACTTATGACGACAATGGTGCTATTGTGTCTAATGCTGATTCTTGTTGTGTTGCACAAACTAACAAAGTTCTTCATGCAGGATGCATTCACGATGCACATCGAAGGTTTTGCCATCTCTCTTGGAAGGCACTGGCCAAGATGCCAGAGATGGTTGAGGGTTTGAACATCAAACCCTGTAAGTTTCACATGAAATGTGTATCTTGTGCAGAGAACAAGGTGAAGGTTGCTCCAAAAGGCAAGGAGTCTAGCAGGCAGGCTTCCAAACCCTACCAGCTAGTGCACGCAGACCTGGTTGGTCCACTTGCGCCCTCTTTGGGTGGAGCAAGGTACTTCATGGTTCTAATTGATTCTTTTTCCAGGTACATTCATGTGTTTATGCTCGAGCAGAAATCGCAAGCGTTTCCTAAGTTCAAGGCATTCTGTGCTTGGTTGGAGAATGTTCACGGTAAACGCATTGGCTGTCTGTTTACTGATCGAGGCGGGGAGTTCACTTCTCAGCAGTTTGAAGCTTTCCTGACTGAGAAGGGAATCCAGCATAGCCTCTCAAGTCCTGGATCTCCATGGGAGATTTGTGAGCAAGCAAAGCAAACGTTGCTGCAAGGACTGAAAACATTGCTGCATGATGCCAATCTCCCTGAGAAGTTTTGGGGGGAGTCTTTGAACTCGTATGTTTACACTTTTAATCGCAGATTGTCATCACCTATTGGTTGTACCCCCTATGAGAAGATGTTTGGTAAGAAACCCAACATCAAGCACATGAGAATCTTTGGTTCTGACATGTGGGTACACACCCCACAGAGCAACAAGCTTGGGAAGCGTGGGGCACATGGTTTGTTCATGGGGTACGAAAAGGTGCATACAGGGTGTGGATGACCAACTCTAAGTCCATTAAGTTCACAAGGAGTGTTGAGTACAATCCTAAGTGGGGGGAAAATGTGGGAATTTTCCAGAGTTACCCAGAGGAGGATGAAGGTGATGTCAAAGAAGCAGCTAAAGCTGAGGAAGCTGCTGAGGATGATGATGACGATGATGATCAGAGTTCGGATTCCAGTTCAGTGGGCGGCGCTGCTGCTGGTGTCAGTGACAGTGATGACACAGCAGACTACAAGAGCGCAAAGGCCTCAGTCAGACCATCTGATGCGTCTGACAATGAACTGGAAGAACCACTGTTCACCATTGGTCACTTTTCTCCTAAGAAAGAGGAGATGAGTCCAGAAGACTTGCGTCTAGTACGCAGATCTGAAAGAGCCACAAAGGGCAGACCTCCAAAGAGATTTGCTGATGAGTTTGCTAAGACAGCAACTGCTGTTCTTAGTAGCTCAGAGAAGGTGTGGGAACCTTCAAGCTTCAAAGAGGTTCAGGAGTTAACCTCTAAAGATGCTGAGCCTTGGCTTAATGCCATGAAGGCTGAAGTTGATTCCTTGAACAGGAACCAAACTTGGGAACTGGTACCGGTAGTCCCAGGGATGAGACTGGTTGGCAGCAAATGGGTCTTCAAGGCCAAGACAGACCAGAATGGCAAGGTTGTCAGACACAAAGCCAGATTGGTTGCCAGAGGTTTTCACAGGTACCAGGACAGGATTACCACGAGACCTACTCACCCACCGTCAAATATGAGAGCATTCGGCTGATGCTCAAGATAGCTGCAGAGGAGAAACTGCATGTTTCCCATCATGACATTAATACAGCTTTTTGTACGGGATTCTGGAGGAGGAGCTGTTTATGCTTCCACCTGACGGGATGCAGATACAGAAGGGAATGGTCTGTAAACTGCGGAAATCCTTATATGGTCTCAAGCAGAGTGCCAGGTGTTGGAACACAAAGCTCACTGAGACATTGCTTTCTCTAGGTTTTCACCAGGGCAAAGCTGATCCATGTGTGTTTGTCAAGGAGGAGGGGCAAAACAAACTGTATTGTTTATGTTTTGTTGATGATCTTCTGATGTTTTGGAAGAATCAGGCTTTGTACCAAAGCACCCTAGCTCAGCTGAAGGAGCACTTTGACATGAAGGATCTTGGTGAGGTATCCAACTATCTTTCTCTGCAGGTGGAGAAGGACCAAGCAGGTAATTTTCTGGTACACCAAACACAGAAAATTGCTGATGTATTAACCAGGTTGAATTTGGTTGATGCAAACCCAGCAGACACACCGATGGTGACAGGTTACCAGGTAGACAGTACTGCTGAAGCGTTTTCTGACACAACGCTGTACAGATGCATTCTAGGCAAGTTGAATTTCATTGCTAGATGCTCAAGACCTGACATAGCTGTGAGCACTAACCTGCTTAGCAGACATGCTAACAATCCTACTGTTCAGGATTGGAAAGCTCTGAAGCGCATAGCCCGCTATTTGAAAGGGACTTTGCACTACAGGCTGAGGTTCACCAGTCAGAAGACTGGAGGTCTTGAAATCTTTGCAGATGCAAGTTTTGGAAGTGACACCACGGATGGTACAAGCACTTCTGGAGTATGCTACATGTACAACCACTGCCTGTTTGACTGGTTGTGCAAAAGCAGACGACAGTGAGCCTAAGTTCCTGTGAAGCAGAACTCAATGCTCTGTCATTTTCACTCATGGATTGTGAATGGTTGATGCAACTGTTTAAGGACATCAGAGTTTCTGTGAAATGTCCTGTACAAGTGTATCAAGACAATAGATCGTGTTTGGCTTTGCTGAACTCGGAGAGTTGCAAGCAAAGGACCAAGTACTTGCAGATTAAGCTACATCGTGCAAGAGAGTGTATTCAGAAAGGACTCATTCAGGTGTCCTACATGCCAGGAAATGAAATTCCTGCTGATCTGTTGTCTAAGGTTGTTAACAGAGAACAACTTAAGGTTTACGTACAAAGGTTGCAATTGGGTTGAACCACAGGTACTACAGGTTACACGGAAAGGGGGAGGATGTTAGGATATTTCCGTTCCACCTTAAAAGGGAGCAGGCTTTGTGAGTCAGAGTCTGCGTATTTCCTGTTCACAGGATGTTTATGTTTTTCTGTTGCTTTCGTTTTCTCTCTGGTGTCGCAGACACTAAAGCAGTCAGTCATGTTTTTCTGTGTTCTGATCAACGCTGAATAAACTTGTAAATAATGCTCTCCTGGGTGCAACTTTTGGCTGTGCTAATTGCTGATAGAGCGTGCATGAGTCTGGAATGTGTACAAGATATTTTCTAGAAACTCATGTCGCTGAGTGCCTACGGGAGGTAGATGGATCGTCCGGCAGACGGCTTGGGGGCCTTGATGGACTTTATCTCCCTGGCAGTATCCCAACACGCGGGTGGTGCTGTGGGTTAAACCATAGAGCCTAGGGCTTGCTGATTGGAAGGTCAGCAGTTCGAATCCATGTGACAGGGTAAGCTCCCGTTGCTTGGTCCCTGCTCCTGCCAACCTAGCAGTTCGAAAGCATGCAGTGCAAGTAGATAAATACCTTTCCTGTGGAAAGGTAAACGGCGTTTCCGTGCACTGCTCTGGTTCGCCAGAAGCGGCTTAGTCATGCTGGCCACATGACCCAGAAGCTGTACACCGGCTCCCTCAGCCAGTAAAGTGAGATGAGCGCTGCAACCCCAGAGTCGTCCGTGACTGGACCTAACGGTCCGCGGTCCCTTTACCTTTGTGGAGTAAAAAACCTAGTCTCTTGCCCCTATGTTTTCCTCCAGCAAGACATACACAGACATGCACATACACAGCCAGCTCCTGGATCCACAAACCTCAGGAAAGGAGCTGTCTGACAGGAAATTTGAGGAAACCCTGGTGGTTATTTCTGTTGCTGCGCCAGGGAGTGTGAAAGGTGTCACATTGGGTACCTGTGAAATGTGACATGGGCTCTGATTGGTAAAAAAGAGCCAGGTGCCATGCAGTGGCAGTGGCAGTGGCAGAGGTGGCGGGGCTGTGGTATGCGCAGGGGTAAACCTGAGGTGAAATGGGAAGTGCTGTCGCACGCTGCTGCCTCTGCCTCTGCCACTGGTGGAGAGGTGTCACTGACATTATCACCGATTTTGAGTGAGATCTTGCATATTCCACAAGATCTCATGCAATTTTGGCAAGTTCTTGACCAAAATCAGCTTGCTGCTTCTCCGCCGGTGGTGGAAGCCGTGGGGCAGGCAAGGCACCTGGTAGGGGGAGCAGGGCTGCGTTGGGTTTCCCATTGTCTGAAGTGGTGGTCTCATCCCACCTAATGGCTGCGCTGGCCCTGGGTATGTGACCTTTGTCCCTCCCATCAGAGTCCCTTCCATCATCAATCATCAGAAAACCCTGCAACTGACTATGTATGCTCTGTTACTTGTGAGTAGACCAAGAAGTTCCTAGGTCAGAATAAGTAGACTTGAGCCTGCTTTGTCCATCTGCCTCCTTCTATCCTATTCCTAATAACGCTTCATCCAATTTGGGTGTTGGGGTGTGGAGCGGGTGTTTGCCAAACTCCAGGATTTGTATAATCTCCCACATGCCTAAATGCTTGGTATGTTCTACTGCATGTAAGTTTTGGGGTGATAGAGAAAAGCAGGAACTTCTGATTTCTGGGATAGAAAGCTGGACAAGTCTGTCCTAAGTCTCCCACTTTTCAGCTTCATTGGATGTCTGCGAGTTCTAGTACTACAAGATGGGTGTGCAATAACCAGCCTCGTATAACCAAAGTCTAATTAATGCATGAAGGGGTTAAGACCATAGAGTAAGCTGCCCTGCCAGGCTTAGTTCACCTTTGGACTATGGGTCTCCTTCAGTCTAGCTTGGTATGTAAAGAGGTCTGAGTGGGTTGCTCCAAGCTCAGACCACATGGCTCTAACAGGCCTCCCTTGAGGATTTAGGAACTTTCACAACTGTAAGCAAGCCAAGTTTTACTGCCTGTGTTTTCTGACTGTTATATGGAAAAGCACATGAACCTGTCTTTTGAAGAGGGACAGTAAACCATCTTTAAACAAATATGTGGTCTTTTTCTATGCTAGGGAAACTTTGGAAGGAACTTAGGACATGGTTTAAAGGTCTAACAGCCTATTTTCCCGGGCTGCATGTTTGTGATTTTAAATTTCTGCTGGGTTCTCTCACCAAAGAGTACTTGCCCCAAACCTGGATCTTGGCATCCAGGGAATTCTCCTTTTATATACCTATTTTTCCTTGCCACAAACAAGAGGAAGGCAGAGCAAGTATGTCTTATTGCCTTTCTTCACACCATGCATAATTTCACACACCCCTGTTGTGTCCCCCTCCTTACCCGCCCCTCCTCTAAGCTACAAAGCCTGAGATGCTTTTAGCCTTTCCTAGTAAGAACAGTATTCTACACTCTGAGTCACTTCAGTTGCTCTTTCAGGTTTTTTTTCTAAGTTGTCTTAGCAAAGGCTAAAGGCTTCTTCTACTATTCTTAACACACTAACATAATTTCGAGTGTAACTTGCACATGTTTCCTTAACCCCTCCACCCTCATTACACCTCAGTTCACCTTGGCTTGGGGCACTTTGGCAGACTAATTCTCAAGATTATACCACAGTGCATCGTTTCTGGACATTTCCTACTAATGCCTTTTACATTTGTAGCTAGTATCGGGAAATCTAGTACCAAAAGGTTAATGTATATCCATTAGTTTTGTTAAATGTGCTGGTAGGAGACAACCAATTTCTGTAAATTCATTAGGCCTGAAAAGGCACATGAGGCGCTTGAAATCTGAAGTGCTATTACCTCCATCTTGCCTGAATATCAATGGAAAGCTTTGGTTGTTTTTTAAAAAAAGATATTGAAGTATTAGTCTCTAGATTTCACAGCAAGGGAAACCCGATTAATACTAACTGCAGCATACTCTGATTTGGGGTCTTGAAAAGGCTATCATACCAACAGGGCAGGAATCAGGGTTATGGTCTCTGGATTTCTGGTATCTGCTTAGTTACAGTAATGCTAGTTCTAGCCCTGTCTGTCTGTCTCTTTATATAAAGCATGTTTAGCCTGTTCTTCAGCTGGAAAAGCTTCCAGAGTGGCTTCCAGATCAATAAAAACAGGATAGTCTTCAGTCTTACAATCTAAAAAGACACTGCACAAAAGGAAAGGGGATTGGGAGGGAGGAGGAAAACGGCAGCAAACCCAGCAACTCAGGCACTTACCGGTAGTTACAAAGTATATTTTCCTAAGAATGGGCAGTCATACATGGCACCGGATTCTCTCTCTGCTTCCTGCCTTGGTAAAGCAATAACTGCCCATAAGGCTCCCTCACTATGCAACACTCGCATGTTTTGCTCCCTCCTGATTGGTAAAGATTTGTAGTATGTCTTCATCTTCTTCGAAACATCATGGACATCCATGCAGTGTGGTATGTCAGCTGAGAGCTTGCACAGTATAGGCCAAGAGAGGTGGATGGTGTGTGTGTGTGTGTGTGTGTGTGTGTGTGTGTGTGTGTAGACCTGTATCATTCTTATTTCTCTTTGAGCCTTCATCTGTATTGTAAACCACCTTGTGATCCTTGGATGAGGGGTGGTGTCGAAATTTAATCAACAACAACAACGGCAACAACAATGTCTACTTTAATACATTTGACTGCTTACTGTGAACACCTGATGGAATAGTATCCCACCTGCCCAGCTGCTCATGTCATGATACAAAGCATTTTGAGCTAAAGGGCATCAGAGGAGGCAGAAGAAGCATAAGCTTAGTGATGTCTGTTGTTTCAGCTTGCTGCTAAGCCCTACTCCCATGTTAAATTAGTTGTGGGGTCATCCAAGGGGGGGGGGGAGGGCAATGTGGTGGCAGTCCTTGCATGCCAAACACCTTAAAAAAGGAAGTCTTTCAAAATGGTTGCACAATTATAGGATACTAGAACAGTGGAATTTTCATTTTGTTTTGTTTACAATGCAAAGCTGCTAGGTTTGTGTTTCCTTTCTAACCCCTATTTTGTCTCCTTTGCTTCTTGTGGGTGCTGACGGGGAAAATGGCTCAAAGTGCTGCTGGGCACAAGGCAACCCTCTCCTGGAAGGCAGAGTCACAGTGCAAGGTGCTCACGCTACAGCGCATTGTTTATGCAACCAAAGTGTAGATGAGCACAAAAAGTGACATTACATGAATCCAATATTCAGGACAAATATGGTTGTGAAAGTGAAGAAGTGGAAGAACACGCACTGTGTGTCTCATTAGACATTGAGGATGTAATCACATGTGTCAACTTCCCATCCTCTTCAGATGCAGACTTTGATGCCATGTGACACATACATCACCCAAGCGATGCATTTCCCTCCAAGGAACATGGAGTGTTCTGTTGTATCACTTCTCCTCCTGCTGCTGCTCACCCTGTTAAAGGACTGATTATCTGAAGGCACACTCCAGAATACTGCATTTGGAGAACTGGAAAGTGGTGGGTGGGTGGGGTCCCTGGCAAATTATTTTTAGGCCCCGGCAAGCAGCCCCATGAACATGGGGGCGGGGGCTGCGATCAGCCCACCGGTGACCACTTTCATTTGGAGAAACTCTTGCACGCTTACAGAGGGGGAATTTTCTCCTTGGGAGTCTGCATCTGTGGTCTCTTAGGAGCTGGTGTTCAGCTGTGCTTATACAACTGGGAAGGACCCCTGCTTGAAACCTCAAAGTGTTTCTGCGAGAGAGACAGATGGTCTGCCTTGGTTTAAGGGAGCTGCCCACACACCTATGTTTCTACTCTACTGGATACCCACAGCCCTGCCTATTTGCCCGTGCTGGGCACTTTAGACAGCACACGCTGCATAGGACAAAAGGCTAAGAAAGGGACATGGCACGGGGCACCCCTCCATGAAACTGCCAAGGTCTTGCCATTAGTGTACCACAGTGAATGGGTGTCCCTAAGAGGGTGGGAGACTTGGGTTCTTGTCCAGTAGCCTACTGACTTCACTGCAGGCACTGAGGAACATGTGGCAACCCAGATGTTGCTGAACTCCAACTCCCACAGGCCCCAGTCGGCACGGACAATGGCGTTCCAGCAACACCTAGAGGTCACATGTTCCTCATGCCTGCTTTACTGATTTATCCTCCTTCCTATGCCTTTCCTCAAGCCTAAATATTGTTTCCAGCAAGGCAATACCCATAAGGTGTTGTTGCCTGCCACCCCAATCTCTGAGCGGTGCAGGATTCCAGGACTTCCATGCATTTGCCCAGAATTGTGTTCCCTTTTGGAAATGAGGCACAGCAGAGACTGTGGTGTCTTTAGGATACATAGTTTATTTACACATATACGTATACAATCTGAGCCTAGGGTGGACGGGCTCATAGCATTAACACCCCAAGAAGGCCTTGCTTCTCTCATAGCCTCAGCCTTGGATTCAAGCAGAAAATCAAATATTCCCAGGGAAAGCTTCCGAAAGCCAGGGAGCTGCCCCGATAAAAGCCCTTTCCCCAGTTACTGGCTGTCTCACCTTGGCAGGTGGTGATACCCAGAAAAGGTCCTTACAGAAGGATCTTTTAAGTAGGAGCTGACAGGTTTTTTTACAATGTCAGCCTATAAGTTCCTGTCATGAACCATCCTATAGGGCCTATGTACAAAAAAGAAAGAGAACCAGAGCTCTTGTGTTCACCTTGGAGATTCAATATGGCTCAGATTCTGGGTCAAGCCCTTTCTCTCTCCTTCAGAGGCAGCAAGAAAGAGCTCCTTGCAGCAGCAGGTGCTGGGCAGAGTTCCTTAATAAGATAGCCCAAATCTCTGAGAGAGCTCCTAATTTCTGTTTTAATATAAATAATTAGCAATCGAGAATACTTTCTTGCCAAACGCAATTTGTTCATTTTGATTTGACCATCACAGCATCATTTTAATTATTAATGGTCGTACCTCTTTGCAGTCTAGATGTACTATGCAGTATTTCACAAAATAATGAAACCTTCGTAATAGGAGGCTTCATGTCAGCTATTAAATCTTTACTGAGAAAAGGGACAAACTGCACTTGGTGTCTATGAATTATGAAGAGAACAGACAGGCAAAATGTAGATTCTTGCTTAGCTTGACCCTACCTATGTTGTCTTTGAAATTCCCAAAAGCATGTCTTTCTGCACATCATTTCAGTAACTAGCAATCAAAACCCATTTCTCCAGAACGTGGAGGGTACAAATTTTGAATTTATTTTATTTCTTTTCCTTACCAGGTTCCTTAAGCACCCTTCATCACGTCCAGCATTAAAACAAAAAATCATAGACAGGGAACATTAAGTAGCAACAAGACATTTCCTCCAAAGGCCTGAAAGAACAGATATGTTTTAACTTGCTGATAAAGCCAAAATGTCTCCAGATGGAGGGAATCTTCAGCCAGGGTGCCACAGCAGAGAAGGCCTCCTCCCATAAAACTGTGCAGCAGGCAGGGCTGGCCCAAGACATTTTTGCACTTGAGGCAAACTACAAAATGGTGCCCCCCGCAAGAAGGGGTGAGTGAAGATCTACATCAGGAACAAGGCGGGGGGGGGATAAGGAGATGATAGATAGATAGATAGATAGATAGATAGATAGATAGATGAGTGTAGAGGAGTCTGCTGCTGAGGAGGCATCAGATCAGCCTGCAAAGAGGGCACCACAACTGTTGCTGCTACTGTGGCAGTGGCGGCAGCGGCGGCAGCAGCAGCAGCAGCAATGCATTGCCTTGGCGGCTGGATCTGCTGCCCCTGTGGATCCTGCCACCCGAGGCAATTGCCTCACTTTGCCTCATGGCAGAGCCATCCTGATGCAGGAGTGACCATAGCTGGAGCTGAGAACAGGCACTCCTTGCCACTGAGACCACCTGGATCTCGAGCGACAGTGTTGGATCATCTAGGCATATTCCTAGAGGACAAATGGGCTTTGTCAGGGGATGGCATGACTCTGTCAAAAGCAGGCTATCTACCCAGCCACCACTTACTAGCAGTGCCTCCATCTTGTCAGGATTCAAGTTTGGTTCAATTGATGGAAAAGTTTCATTAATTTCTTCTTTAAATTTACTTTCAGCATTTTGGAACCATGTGGACCATGCTGTGTACAACTTTTGTTGGACACTGGGCCACAGATCTCTTTGTGCTTATGTGGTGTGGGGTGTGTTTCACAGAAAGGCTGAAGTATCAGGTTGCCTACCCTGCTCCTCCTTCAAGTTGTCTTACCAGCGGCGTATTCAGCTGCCACATGAAGAAGCCTTCCACATGCCCCAGTGCCTGTCTGTAGGGCTCCTCCATGACAGTTGGAAGCCTGAGGCAGTCCAGATGTGTGGCTGGAGAGGAGCATGCCAGGTAGTTGTGGTTTGGTGGCAGAGGCTGGGGCTGGCAACTTCCTCACATCTGCTTTCAACATATGAGCCTTAGTCTCCAAAATCTTACCTGAACCTGCCTTATACAGAGTCAGACCACCAATCTGTCTAGCTCATAACTGTCAACTCTGGCGGGCAGTGGCTCTTCAAGTCTAATATCTGAGTTCCTTTCACAGCTGGAGATGCTGGAATTGAAACCTGGGATCTTGCCAAGGCTGGCCCAGGGCAATTTGGCATCTGAGGCAAACCACAAGGTGCTGTGCCCCTGACCAGAGAAGAAGGGGTGAGGAAAAATCTGCATCAAGAACAAGGGAGAGAATCAAATGGTTGAAGTGGAAATCAAAGGCCATTGTTTGGTGGTGGTGGTGAGGAAAAGGCCTGCTCAAAATAATGCTGGGTGGGTGCATGCCCCAGGAGACCCCAGAGGACAGCCCCTGCCGTTTCCTCCCTAGGGATGGGAGACCACCAGCGCCTCCTTTCTCTGAGAAGTCACTGTGGAGGCAGCAGATGTTACGGAGGAGGCAGCAGGTCCAGTCTCGAAGAAGCGCGCTGCAGCCATTGCTACTACTGATGTGTTTCTTGGTGGCTGGATCTGCTGCCCCTTTGGATTCTGCCATCCAAGGCACTTGCCTCACCTTGCCTCATGTGTGAGTCGGCCCTGGATCTTGTGCATGCAAAACACAGTAGATGAGAGGTGTGTGGGTGATGTTTCTAGAGAGAACAGCCCAGGAAAACAAGTCCACTAAAATATTACTGCCACGAACTTGGATATGTGAATAGGATATTAAAATATGGTCATATTTAAAAGGTTGCATGGCTCTCTCCTCGGCAATTGCTAGAAGTATTTTAGATGTGGCAAAACACCTAAACAGAAAGCACTTCTCAAGGGAAGGATATTTAGATCACTGTTACTGACTGAAAGTGGATGTGTTTCACAAAGTGGGTGCACATCATCCATGTCACCATGTGGCTAGTCTCAGTTTTGCAGCACTTGTGACATGCAGGTTACATATCAAATCCACTTGTCACACAGTATGATCTACCCAGGACGTGCACATAAATTCCCTATTGGTAAAACAATACATGGAGTGCCCTGATATGGATAAAAAAGAGCCAGCAAAGACCTTGGCAGAGTGCTCTTAATAACTTGTGGGCTTTTAAAATCCCTGTTTGAGCATGGAAAATGTAAGTGACCTGAGAAGACATTAGGAGAACTCAAAATACAAACTGGTAATTTCCCCAGCAAAATATATCACTGAGTGAAAGTTTTATGTCCTCTGAGCTTACTGTATTAATTTTATGCATGAGTGCTTTATTTTTGCCACGTGAGATATATCACTGGCTTACTAAAGCAAAATGTCATTTGCCCCCCAGAAGGGATTTGGCCACTTACACTTTGTCACCAAGGATCACTGCAGAGAGATAATGTCGGGCTGTGACATGCAATTCCTCATATGTTTATTAAGTGATTATAGATCTATAGCTATATCTAGGTGTTTGTTTTGTGTGCGCAGGGTTCACAATCTCAGAAAGAGATTTTAAAAAACAAGTTATCATCATGCTTTATTTTGAGTATGAATTCAACAGAGTATCTCCGGCAGTCCAGCCCTGCTACGCATCAGCCTACACATGTGACTGCCAGGGAATGAACCCGTGATTTTTCTAGACGCAAAACAGTATTCTACCACTCAGTTATGATTCACAGGGCTGCACAGAGGCCATAAAGAAGGAAGCAGAATGATTCTTACTTGCAACTGCTCTTCTCTCTATGCAGTCATGCAAGTTGCCTTCCTTCCTTGCCATAAAGTGCTTGTTAAGACCATACCATCATTGGTCAGGCCACAACTTTTCCTAATAAATTCTTAGCTTCACAATGCCATCCCCATAACCATCCTTCTATTTTAAAAATATCATTACATCAAAGGAATATTTTTATTAAATTTTATTAAATTGTGTATTCCAAAAGGTGACCAATAAATTCCAACTTTGAGCATACTGTTTATGCTTATTACACCCCTCCTTGCCTTAGAATGATAGAATAATAGAACTGTATAGTTGGAAGGGACCCCAAGGGTCATCTAGTTCAACCCTGTGCAACCCCGTGGAGGAATCTCAACTAAAACATCCATGGCACATGGCCATGCAACCTCTGCTTTAAAACCTCCAAGGAGACTCCACCACCTCCCATGGGAGTCTGTTCCAATGACAAACGGCTCTTACCACCAGAGGAACACACAGTCTACCACTAAGCTGTTGCTCTTCCCCAAGGACGAGAAGATGGCAAAGTTTGGAAAAGGAATTTGAGTAGGAGCTACCAAAGCATTTGCTTAGTTTGGATATTCTTGTCACTGCTTATCCCGAACTTGCATGCCCAGTTTCAACCCCTGCTGAGTTTTCTTATTGACTCCAGCAAGAGCAAAATCTAACCTTAAAATCTCATCTTTTCTGAAGTAGGAACCTCATTTACTTTCATGCCATTATGTTAGTTCCCTTGGCCCTGCAGCCATATGAAAGAACATTTTAATACCTTCTTGTTTTCTAAAATGTTCAATTTCTTTCCCTTTCCAGAACACAACTCCCAGGAGTTGGCGTGTTCTGAAAGGAGCTGTTAATAGCTTTTAATGATAACGGAAGGGCTGTGATAACTCTGGGTTTCTCTGTAGCAGGGCCCCCAAATTGCTGACCATTGATCCCGCAATATGCATTGGCTTGAGAATGAAAGTAATTTCCTCTTTTTGATGTTCCTTGTGCCTTACAGAGATGGAAAATGTCTGCTAATGCATTATATTTCTAGGCTTGTTTTCATTCCATCTCGTGAAACGTGACACATTATACCGTAGGGAATCAGCTCCATGGTGAAATCTCCTTAAATGAATCTGTGATGAAGTGACAAAAGAAAAGTCAAAGAATGAATTTGCTGCATACACCAATTCCCATCAATCCCAGCATATGACAAGGAAATGTAACAACTAATGAAACGGAATAATCTACCCTTGTTAGACGCTTCGTCTTAGCAATTGATGTCTAGGGAAAAGGCATGCAACTGACAAGCAAATCTCTATATTGGTCACCAATCCATCATGACTGCCCCTTGAATTGTAACAAGTCTGGATTAGGAATGCCATCATTCTGCTAAAGGCCACATGGAAAGATTGGCTACACAGCATTGTATGACCAACTTAGGTCAAAATCGTGGCATCCTCCAGTTTTGAATGAGATATATGACACTTCCAGAAACAACCATTGCATGCCGTGGTTCAATCGTTGCATCTTCAGGTGGAGCTGGGAATTGTCCCTTGTCTGAAACCATGAAGAGGGGCCACGAGTCAGTCCCAAAATGCTGAGCTAGGTGGACCCGGGGCCTGTTTTTGTGTAAGGCAGCTTCCTATGTCTCAGTGGCCACTTGCTAATGCACAAAATTGTCCACCCCTGACTTCAGTTACCTGTTACCATTGTGAAATCAGGGGGTTGGTAGCTGGACAGCTCCACCCACCTGTCAGATTTGGCCCACAAGGCTTTGCTCTGGCCTGCAGAGTCAAAAGTGATTTGCGCAAAAGCCCCTGTATGATAGAGGATTTTGTGAAAAGGATTTTTATTAGCCTGCTCAGTCCTCTGGCAGCTGGACACAATCTGTCTCCCTGAGGCCTTCTCAAAGTTTTATAGATTTACTAAGAGCAAAAAGAAATTATGGCCTCCAGCATTTCTAGGTCAGTGCCATGTGTCAAAGGAGCTTAGCCTTTGCGTTTTGTGGCACTCCCAGCAAAGCCTACCTGTCTGTCTGTCTGTCTGTCTGTCTGATGGGTAAAGCTGCCCATCAATAAATATTCTCTGGGTGACCTGCAAACAAAACAGTATTAAAAATTCAATTTAAAATCAATGACGGATAAGTAAATACAGCCCCGCACCTTGCCAATCCTTATAACAGAGACAACATAACATAGTTTACAGCCTGGATTTAAAACAGAATTAAAAGATCTTGGTGAATAAAAAGGTCTTCCCCTGATGTCATAAAGACCACAGAGGTCTCAGGGTATAGTCTGAAGGCATCAACCTGAGCTCCTCTGGGGCTGGTCAGCGTCCAGATGGCAGAACTCTTAGAACTCACATGGATGCCACCTTGTGCTCCACGAGGGGATGGAAATGTTAGAAAATAAAATAGAGAAGTCGTCTGACGGGCATCTCTCTGTGGAAGCCACTCCATATCTACCCAAAAGGCAGTCAAGTGTGGGGCAGGTGGCTGGGGCTGGGGGAATAACACTGCAGGCCGAATTTGGCCAGCTGACCAGAGGTTCCCCATGGCTGAGGTAGGCCTATGCAGGAGGCAATGTTCCTTCAGGTTACCTGGCCCTAAGCTGTTTAAAGGTTAGTGCTAGCACTTTAAAACCAGCACTATAAATCCCTTTGTCGATACTGTTTTCTCATTAAGTAGAATGAGCCTTAAATACTTCGTTGTGCAAGCAGCTGTTTGGGGGATAGATTAGGGAGGCAGTGGTGGCTGAGGGATGGTGTGTGTGTGTTTTCAGATAGCAAAACAGGCTTCATTTCAAAAAAATGTTACAGATTTAAATGTCTGCAAAGAGGGGGAAATCAATGCCTGCCTGTTACTTGTCTAGATGCAAAATTAGCTGGAATCTATGGGACTTTTAATAATCCATGACAGTAACCTTGAGTCTTGTGAAAGTGAGGGAAAATTGAAAGCCAGGACTGATACATCTGCAATTGAAATTGGTCCCAGTGCAACCCTATTGCTCTCAGATTCAGCTCATGCTGATAAAATAGCAGAAGACACATAATACAATGGAAAATTGGCTCTTTGGGTATCATAGAATCTAGCCTTACAATTGCCTTAAAAGTGCTTTAACCTTGGCCTTATGCTTCCTACGGGTCCTGTTGCTCTTGCTGGCGTAAGTACTGATACTACCAAGTAGCATATTAGATTTTTCTTCTGAGTAAAATTAAAAGTGAAATGTTCAGGATTCTGTTGATTCTGGTATGTTCTGTATGCATCTGGTTGAACTGAATGGCTTGAAAAAACATGCAGATTTCAATACACAGAGGTAACATTATTGTGACACCATTTGTGCAAGTGTGAAGTGTGTGTCTGTACATGCTTCTGTGCAAAGTATGTGTGCATAGCTATCTATACGTATACGCTAAGTCACACATTTCTGTTTATTTTTATTTTATTTCAGAGCAACATTGCAATGTGCGTATTAATCAGATAACAATCATATAACTCAGAAACTATGAAGAGGGTTCCTAGTTAAATATCAATGGTCACTGAATATCAATTGAACTTCTGGGTTTTATATGTTTCCAACAACATGGTCCCCCCCCCCCCCCGCTCATTGGAAGGACAGATTGTGAAGCTGAGGCTCCAATACTTTGGCCACCTCATGAGAAGAGAAGACTCCCTGGAAAAGACCCTGATGTTGGGAAAGATGGAGGGCACAAGGAGAAGGGGACGACAGAGGACAAGATGGTGGGACAGTGTTCTTGAAGCTACAAACATGAGTCTGACCAAACTGCGGGAGGCAGTGGAAGACAGGAGTGCCTGGTGTGCTCTGGTCCATGGGGTCACGAAGAGTCGGACACGACTAAACGACTAAACAACAACAACATCATGGTCCAGCTGATAGCAGATGGAGCTTTAATTGGGAGGGCTTGGTTTCACTCTCTCAGTGCCACACCTGTAAAATGGGAATAAAAATATCCTACCTTATATGCTATTGTGAAGAAGAACAGTATGAACACTTTAAAGCACTTTGAAAATTAAGGGGCTCAGTCACATTTTAGAAGTCTGGCGCCTTCCCTTTCCCTACATAGGAAGGCTGCTGACAGGCAAGAGAGGGTCAAAAGGGGGACACTTCACCCATATGGAGCGGCACCCCTAGGGCCCAGGAGGAACCTTGTGCTGGTTGGGTGACAGGATCATCTACAAAATTTGCTGCAAAAATAATAAATAGTAAAACAGGGGTACCTCGGGTTACATACGCTTCAGTGGAGTTACACACTCCACTAACCCAGAAATAGTGCTTCAGGTTAAGAACTTTGCTTCAGGATAAGAACAGAAATCGGGCTCCAGCGGCGCGGTGGCAGCAGGAGGCCCCATTAGCTAAAGTGGTGCTTCAGGTTAAGAACAGTTTCAGGTTAAGTACGGACCTCCAGAACGAATTAAGTACTTAACCCAAGGTACCACTGTAGTGCAAAATGAAAAACAATGACTGTTCTACTTTGTGCTATCCATGTATTACTTCTGCCCCTCCTTGGACACTTCAGCCTTTGTAACTGGATGGGTCGATTCTTGGAGACAAGGCCTGTGAATCTGGGAGTGTCTACTGTTGGTTGTCTGAACATGCCAAATATCCAGCCTCTAACTATAAGAAGCTGCTGTGCCCTCCGGCTGATGTCTTGAGCCATAAAGCTGCTGGTGAATTGATGGTCCATTGTCTTCTGCTGCTTAGCTAATGGGCAAGGAATAGTTGAGCAATTGGGTGGGGGAGGTTGCACACCTCTCCTCTTTTTTCAGCTGCTCAGGTGATTGGCAGGAGGAGCTACCACATCACATTAAATTAGATAGTGGATTGTTTGTGGCCTGCAGAGGGTGGATTGCCCACTTCTGAACTAGTGGTAGAAACAAATGGTGTGTTTCTTGGCACCTGAGGCAGACCCCAAGATGGCATCTCAGTCACCACCAAGAAAGATCTGCATCAAGAGCAATGGGGGATGAGAAATCAACATTGGGATCTGCTGCCCCTGTGGATCCTGCCACCTGAGGCTTCACCCTGCCTCATAGGTGGGCTGGCCCTGAGCAAATGAATGTACAAAAGCTGTTGAAATATGCACATCCCTCAAGGTCTATTGGGGAATCAAGGTCTGCCGATCAGGAAATGTGTAGAATTGAGAGACAGATTATATGCACCTACTCCATATGGAGTGCTGGATGTGTCTAATGGCTGGTTGCTACACATATCAACTTCTCCACTCACACGACACTTAGCCTGAATGAAGGAGAGGACCATCTGGTCACATGGGCTTCCACTGCCCTGACCCAGGTTGATATATCTCAGTAACAACTTGGCATTAGATTAGTCAGCTGCCTCAGAATATTCAGAATGATCTGAATAATGCGCAACATTGTCATTTCCATCACTACTGCTAGTGATATCATCATCTCATCTTATATGTGTGCCTGAGACACATTATGCCCAGAAACATGCAAAAAGAAAAAGAAAAAGCTTTCTATAATGGCTGGCCTAATTTCGGAAAAAGCTTGCTTTTTTGTTCACAATGAACTTGTCACCTTCTCTGTGGAAATGCCTTTCTAAGGATTTCAAAGGATTCCACCCACTTTCATTTAACGTGTGTGTGTGTGTGTGTGTGTGTGTGTGTGTGTGTGTGTATGGTGGCAATGAACAAAATTCAGAAAGGTTCTTAGAGAGAAGTTAGATGTATCAGAATCACAGATACACCAGTTGAGTTATTTTAGGGTATGGCAGAAGGCCTGCTATACGCGTGTATCTGAAGTTACGCATCAGACAGTGGAAATTTTCTGTTGCAACACATGAGGAAAGACCAATCCCCTTCCCTTTCTATAGAAAGCCCTGACCATAGAAGCCTGCCGAGACATCTCCCAAACCAATACAGCCACCCAAATCTACACCATGGGCTCCCCCTTTCCCCACCCCCAATAATTCAGCAAATTGTTAACAGAAGTACCTTCAAATTCAACCTAAAGGAATACCTTCACCCCAGCAGGCTATCTGACTGGAACATTTGAATTTCCCCCACCTCTTGGAGAGCTCCCACCCTTCACAGAATGATCTAATGTTCTTAGTTCTTTGAAAGATTGGCAGAGTCCTGGCCAGAATCTGCAGCCATGAAAGCAGAGGTTGCTCTCCATTCACCTGCCTGTAAGCAATTTCGTTGTTAGGTTTTCTGATAAGACCAAGTGAGCCTCCCTAGGCTCCCTATGCATTCCACATATGGGGAGCCACCACAGAAAAAGCCAGTTCTCATGTTCCCACCCTCTGGGCCTCTCATGGAGGGGGCATATGAAGAAGGGCTTCAGATGAGAATTGCAGGGTCTGGGTTGGTTCATATGGGGGAGGCGGTCCTTGAGGTATTGCAGTCCTGAGCCATTTAAGGCTTTATGGGTCAGAACCAGAAACTAATTGACAACCAGTACAGTCAGGCCAGGATCTATGCTCAAACCATCTTGCCCCAGAAAGCAACCTGCCTGCTGAATTCTGCACCAGCTGAAGTTTCCAAACTGTCTTCAGAGGCAGCCCTAGGTATAACACATTGCAGTATTCTAACCTCGAGGTTACCAGAGCATAGACAACAGTAGTTAGGCTATCCCTGTCCAGATAAGGGTGCAGCTGGGCCACCAGCTGAAGCTGAAGCTGAAGCTCTCTGTGCCACCAAGTCCACCTGAGGCTTGAATGTGCATTAAATATAGGGTGTGTATGTAGCCTTGCTGGCAGCACTAAATGGCCTGCCAGTACAGAGAAACCACAGGGTTGGAGTTCATCAGCAACCTAATCCAGTTCTGTATTAGGACAGGTGTGGGGAGCCTGTGACTCTTATCAGCCCCAGTCATCATGGCTGGCTGTCAGTGAAGACGGGAGTTGTAGTACACAAGTTGAAGGCCACAGATTCCCCTTCTCTGTGCTAGTGCTGTCCAATGCTGCTGGATGGAGAGCCCAGTGTAGCGCATGGAGGATTGCTGCTCTGTGCCACTCAAAGCTTCCCTGGTAGATTTCAGCGGATCATGCTGGCATTCAAAAGCACATGAGAAGGCTGGTCTTTTGGCAGCCATAATTGTATATGCCTCTAATCATATGTATTATTTTCATCACTTATGGCATTACTTTAAAAGGCATAAGGGGAGAGCGTCCAGCCTCTTTGCGTTCTTTTATTTTTTGCCCTATAGGGCTATCTGACCATAATACTAATAATGGTGATAACAAGTGTTTATATAACTGTTGTGAATGTTCAAAGCACTCTGCATAAATAATTGTTAATCTACCAGTGGCACCTGGTTGTTAACCAGAAGGTTGGTGGTTTGAGCCCACCCAGCAACAGCTGTGAGCAGGATTCCGTCATTGCAGGGGGCTGGACTAGATGACCCTCAGGGTCCCTTCTAACTCTACAATTCTGTGTAATTGGTAGATAACAAATTGGTTGCTCTAAGGGATACCAAGCTTCTGGTTGAACCCATTTCAGATCTCTTCTGAATGTGCCAGAACTGCTGATTTGACCACAGTCTTGGTTTTTCCAAGGGAAATCCTGGCAGGGTGGAAGTTTGGTCAGCTCCTAAAAATCTCTGCTTTAAAGTGAGGCTGCGCTTTGGGAGGGAGGTGCGTGGAGAGAAGAGGATCAAAAGGGACTGGGAAATCTTTATTATTTTGCTCCCTTGCACAAAGACAGCAGGCAGACAACACCAAAACGCTAAGCAGTGTGGATGAAAAGCGCATTTATGCCAGGAATTCAGTACCTGGTACACTTTGCTGCTTCCCGGTTCATTGTCAAACTGCATTTGCAGCAGCAGCAGCAGCAACAACAACAACAGCAGCTCTTCACTTCCCTGCTGACAGCTAGAATGACTTGATTCTCAGGCTGGCCAGATGAAAGGGAATGTGTGTCATGATACGGACATAGAGCCAGAGCACTTTGTTGTTGTTTTTTTTAAAATGATATTTATTGAAAATTTTTTAGAATTACAAAAGAAAACAAGGTAGAAAAAGAGAAAGAAAAAACAAAGAAAAAACAAACCACATCAAACAATACAAATTAATAAAAATCAAAATCAAAAAATAGCACAACATGGTCAAAAAACAAAAATATACCACAAACATTTAAAAACAAATCCATTATTCTCAAATCCTTAACTGTCATTACCTTCTTTCTTTGACCTCCTCCTCCTCCCTTTTTGTATCCTAGTTGTTAATTGTCGCAGCAAATCCTTTCCATATTTCATAATATTCTGTCATTACATTACCTTAATCTATTTTAAACTTATCTTACTATTAAAACCATAAAACATAAAAATTAAATCTTATTTTTACAAATATCACATAACCATAATATTCTAACATAATTCTTTAAACATTTTTGCTAAAGCCAAATAATTTCGTTCCAACATTTTTCTAACATTCATCAGTTTTATAAAACAATCCTAATAATAAAAAAGAAATAAAAAAAACAATCCAATCTTCATCCAGCGTCTCTTCCTCCTGGTCCCGGGTTTTGTCAGTCCTTTTTATCTCATCAATCTAGCGCATTAACCTGGTAATCTTATATCCGAGGCCCTTAAGTCCCTTCCATGTCCCTTCCACGGCTCTTCTTCATATTTATAACTGTATTTTCCTTTGTCTCCTGCTCCTTTCACTCGTGGGAACTCCAGCTTAGCAATGTTTTTGACCCTTCTCGACATATCAGCCCCTTTTCCATAGTCCACACTAAACTCCATGTGATATTTAAGAACATGTTTCAAAGTCTCTCCAAAATTAAGAGCCCCCACAACCCCAAACATCTCACGGCCCATTGCCAGACTTGAAAAGTCCAAACATCCCTGCATAGGGGGGTCTATCCAACCCCCCATTTCCAAACCAAACCAAACTTTATCTTTCCAAATCTGGCTTTTTCCAAGTTCATTTGTCAAATCCAAAAGCTCATGTTCCTGCTGGGCCACAGCTCCCTCCATCTCTGGCGCCCAAGATTCAGCAACATCCTCTTCCCTCATCTGTTCTGTCAGGGCACACTCCTGATTTAATTCCTGAGTGGGCTCCATATAATTTCCCACTGCCTGTTCAAAATTTTTGATTGCATCAGTCATCAAGTCCGTCTTCTCATGTAGCTGTTCCAGTAGGGCACTTGTTTTACAGAGAGCACACAGCAGAGCTTCTGAATACATTGTCCTGCAAGGTCAGAAGTCTATTCCCACGATTGTAATCTGTAACAGCTGCAAGCTCCCCGATTCAGAATTAGTTACAGTTTCACAGGCTCCCTCTAGGGGAAAAACTTCTATTTGTTCTTTTCTTTTAAAGACAAATCTAACAACAAAGTTTCCTTTTTCAGATATTTTGTCAATATTTATTCCTTTAAAATGCGAAGGGGAACAATGGAATCACTATGTTTCTCTTCTTTTAGCTATCTGTCAAAAACGTTTGTCTCTGGTCAATGAGCTTCAAAAACCGTCAGTCCTGACACCCCGCTCCAGGATCAAGACGGTGGAAAGTTACTTTACTTTACACTCACTTCTGCAGGTTTAAACAGTTCAGGAAAAATCCCCCCCTCTTCTCCTGCTTCTGAAGGGGGTTCAACAATCTTAAATGATGAAAGTTAGTCCTTTACAAGCGATTTTCTGAGCTCTAGTTTGCCATGTCTTTGCTTTAATCTATCTACAAAGAAACGGAAGGCTGACTTCCTGTTTAGACCTTCCCGTTTCAGTGCCAAATTGAAATAAACTTTTAAGTCCAATTTTCCTTTCTGCACGCAAGTCCTTATTTAGAGTCCAATTGTCCGAAATTTAAGTACTCACGGGTGATTGTTTTAGAAGCCAAATTGTCCCAGGAAAAGGCAGCGCTCTCCGGCAACGGCTGTGCGGCTTCGCTCCACGGAAGAAGCAGTTGACTCTCAGCACCGCGCCACTTCCCCCTCTTCGCTCCGGAGCCCGTTAGTGGGTTCCTTTGCGGGTTGGGGGGGCGCTAAAGGTGCCCGCCGAGTCCCATGGTCACAGGCTTCATCCGCCTGTGATTTTTGAAAGGGTCCCCGCTTCGCCGTAGCGGGAAAGACCCGTTTCCCGTGGAGCTGGTCCCTCCAGATCAGAGGGAATCCGCCATTACCGATGGCGCCACCCCGGAAGTCGGAGCCAGAGCACTTTGTGAGTCAGCGACCTGCATAGGGAGCAAAGTGGCCAGTTTCCAGGGGAAGACCGGAGAGAGCTGGGAGGCCTCCGGGCCCCAGCGGGCTGAACCTGAGAGAGCCTGCCCTCAGGGCCAGAGCTCCAGCTGCAAGGGGCAACAAGGGAATGAAAGATATGAGGAGCAGGACCTGAGAACGGGGTAACCCTGGCGTGTATTTGCTGAATGAGTAAGAGGGTTGGGAAAACACACAAAAGCTATCATTAAGGACAGGAGTCCCAGTTCTAATTTGGGTCTTTCTTCAAGTGGGAAATTTATAAAACAACAACAATCAAAGTTTTATTATAAGGGGTTATTTTTGTAACCCACTATGGGATTGATTTTAATGAAAAGCAGGCTAAACGTGGCTCAAATAAACAGAGTGGCAGCAATCTGCCTGCTTCTCCATGCAATTAAGTGCTTGATTTGGCCTGGGAGAACAATTCAAAGAGCCCTGCCTCTGGTCTGCAGTATGAGCGGCAGACTGCTGTTGTTGATGCAAGCTACCCTTTCTCAGTGCAACTGTCTCCCACCTGGAATAGGGGCATAAGGGTGAACTGCACCACAGGGTTGTTGTATTTTTCTTTATCAACCCAACTGTTGTGTGCAGATAATTCACCAGAGGAAAATAGCAATAGCAGCCATTGGTATTGGGGGTGGGGTGCTAGTCAACATGGCCCCACAGTCCCCTCCACATGTGTATTCAGCTTATGGAGGGGACCCCTGTGTCTGTGCCTGAATATTACAAATTCAGGTAGAAAAGCCACTCTTTTAAAGCAAAGAGCTTAGCCCTGTCTATAAATGAAGTCCTTTTAATTGCCCACAAGAATTGACCCACACGCTAATCTGCATGTAGCTTGCTGGTGCCTGGGGGGGCAGGCGGGGGGTGGGCAGCCCAGTCCATGCCCCACCAGAACAATGTGGGGCCACGCTGAGCCACCTGCCTGCCCACGAGGTGGCCTTTGGCAAGTGGAGAGGAGCACCAGGCTGGGCCACACTGGGGTTGCCTGTGTGGGTGCGCCTTGTTCGCATCCCCTCAAAAATTGTGTGCTCGAAGTCACTGCCCCCCCGGCACACACCCCACGATACCCCGTTATGTGTCTAAATAAGCATGCTTAACTTTGCCACTCTTATTTTACAGAAAAAGCAATCCAAAACATGCCCTTGATACAGTATTCTGTTGGAAATCGGGCCCTCGGGCATCAATGGAAGGAGGGGAAGCTGCCCACCAGGTGCTGAAGTCTGTCTACACAGAGCTGTGCCTGGTACCTTCATTATACAGTTTCTGTCATAGGCTGAAGACACACTGCTTTACTGTGGCCTTTGACAACTGAGATGTATATTTTTAGAACCCACCTTACTTGCGTAATTTAAAGGGTTTTTATACTGTTTTTAATATTGTGTTTTAATTGTTGTGACCTTAGGGTGAATGCTGGGAGGAACAACAACAACAAGTTCTGTAACCTGTCCTGGGAACATATGGTGAAGGGCGGGTAAGAAAACTAACTAAAAATAATAATACTTAAAAATAAGAACCCATGAGCTGGCCAGAAATATAAGTTCTCCTTAGAAATAATCATGTATGACCTGAAACACACCCAAACAGTGTACTTGTATGTTTCTGGAGCCTCATTGGGGGAGTGTTAAAGCAGTTTAAAACTGGCTTTAGTTTATAATGTATTTTGGTCCTTTTCAGGGAACTGCCATCAGTACTGGAGGGGGAGAGCAAAGGCCAGAGGGATTCCAGAGAGCGTCCAGGGATCGGGAGGAGCAGCCCATCTTCTGGGGAAGAGAATCAGCGTAGCACCAGTGGAGAAGGGGGGCAGCTGGGGGGAAGTGGCGAGGCGGTCTCATGACTCCTTGCCTGGGACCAGCGGGGAGAGTAGGGGTCCTCTGTTGCCCACGCCCTCCCTGCGCAGAAGGCTTCCACGCAGAGAGAGTAGGAGGAGACTAGGCGTCAAAGAGCTTCTTTGCTGGAAGAAGTTTAAGAAACGCCCACTCACGGATTCTGCCAGCGATTGAGTCAGCCACGGGTGAGTGGCTGTCCGGACAGAAAAGGTTCACTTAGGCAACCCAGCCAGGTGTTTGCATCCAGCCGGGGAGATAGGCACCTGCTTACGCACGAGCAACCCCTTAGAACCATTACAGTCCTGAATTTTTTTTTTTGATGGGGGATGGGTCTTGGCTTCCCATGGACAGGGAGAGTACAGCTGATTTCAGGTGTTTGGGAAAGCAGCAGGGGCAGGAGAAGACCATTTGCCTTTTGGTCTGTTAAATCCACCACTGAATAATAATAATAATAATAATAATAATAATAATGCAGCTGTCCAGACTGCTGAGCTCTTAGATCTGGCAATACATGTATCAATCAGTCTCTTGTCTCTTGAGATGACAGCTCTTGGAAGCCAAAGAGAAACCTTTCAACTAGATTAAAGAGGTGCTATTAATTGCTATTGATCATGGGTCAAAAAATTAAATTGCATCTGCAACCACATCTATGAAAGGTCTAAATGAGAAAAGCAGTTAATGGGTCTGGCTGGCCCCGTTCTGTAATTAATTAAAAGGGATGAGAGCATTACTAAAGAGAGAGAGAGAGAGAAAAGATTGAGATCTGAGTGGATAGCTTTGGAAGTACCAGAATTAAGACAACTCACATCCACAAAGCAATGTAAATTACAAGTTAATTGTAAGTGGTCTGAGAAGTTATGAAGAGGAAAATGGGCATACCTTTCATTCATAAATTTATTGGAAAGAAGACTGATAAACACCTAAGTGGCTTAGGATAAAAGGTTCCCTACATCTCTTTGGGGCTGCTTGCATCTATTACAGGCAAATGGCCAAACCCAAGCGGCCCTTTCCTTCTTTGGGGAAAAGCCATTTTAGGAAAGGCTGAGTTGGAAGGGGCAGGCGGTGGGGAGCCGCTTCCTCCCTGCAACCTCTCTGCTCTAATGTGACCCCATCAAGCTGCTTGTCTCCCCACTGCTCTGGGGTTCTCAGTGTGTGTTTTGTGACAAGTAGAGACTTTTGAAATGTAACAAACATGGGGGTGGGTATTTGGACAGAAAGGGATGTTGCCCAAGTTCGGGGCTTTCCCTTAGGCTCCTTTAACTCCACTGGTTCCAGAATCCTACCCATGATATGATGAGGACTGGAATGAGTAAGTTTCCATTTCCTTTTAATTAGTGACCTGGTTATATATATTATGGGTGTGTGTGTGTGTGTGTGTGTGTGTGTTGTTGCCTATATTTTTAGCTTTAGAGGAAATGCATAATAGAAAAAAGCAGAAACAAATTTGCAAATGCTAATTTATACATATAGAAGCAACTTTAGAAATAATACTATAATCTAGCTAGAAATACATCTTGCCATAGTGGGGAAGGCCATGACCAAGTGACTTGTCTGCCATAAAAACCAGACCCATCAAGTACCCCTATTTTCCAGGGACAGTCCCACATTTACGGAAGCCATCCGGGTTTCTGATTTGATCCCAGAATGCCCCACTTTTCCTTAGGATGTCTCTATTTTCATCGGAGAAATGTTGGAGGGTGTGGAGTTATGTGACCCCCTGAGCCAAAGAGATAAGTAACTATACAACCTTTAGAAGATATCTGAAGGCAGCCTTGTACAGTGGTACCTTGGGTTACATACGCTTCAGGTTACAGACTCCACTAACCCAGAAATAGTGCTTCAGGTTAACAACTTTGCTTCAGGATGAGAACAGAAATCGTGCTCAAGCGGCGCGGCAGCAGCAGGAGGCCTCATTAGCTAAAGTGGTGCTTCAGGTTAAGAACGCTTTCAGGTTAAGTACGGACCTCTGGAACGAATTAAGTACTTAACCTGAGGTACCACTGTATAGGGAAGTTTTAAATGTTTTATTATGTTTTTATATATGTTGGAAGCTGTCCAGAGTGGCAGATGGGCAAGGTATAAATAAATAAATAAATAAATAAAATTGTTGTTGTTGTTGAATAGGATGCCCCTATTTTCATCAGAGAAATGTTGGACGGTATGAAAAACCTTGGAGGAGCTTGCTGGCATTCATCTCTGACCATGGAGGCAGAGCACAGCAGTGTTGCTAGTATCCCTTGATTCACCTCCATGTATTTATCTAATTCTCTTTTAAAGCCACCACTACCTCTTGTGGGAGCCAATTCCATAGTCTAGCTGTGCACTGTGTGAAGAAGTGCTTTTTCTAATCTGTTTTGAATGCTCCAACATCCACTAGTCCACAAGTTGTAGTGTTCTGAGACAGGGAAGAAAGCTTTTTCTTATCCCCTTTCTCTGTGCCAAGCATAGTTTTATAAACTTCCATTGTCACCTCTTACCTGCCTTTTCTCCAAACTAAAAAGTCCCAAATGTGGCAACCTTTCTTAACAGGAAATCGCTGCATCCCTTCAATCATTTTGATCGCCCTTTTCTGTACCTTTTCTGACTGTACAATTTTCTTTTTGAGGTCAGGTGACCAGAATGCCTGCTCAGTCTGCTGTCCTGGTGCAACTTCAAGGTCTCCCCTGTTGCTCTCCCTTCTTAGGGTTCTCTCTCCTTAAACCAACTTGGACCACACAGCTCTTTCAAATAGAGGACTGTCATATATAAATGTCCGACAGTAAACCTAGGCTACAAATTCTAATTTGAAAGAGCTGCAGAATGCAAAGGATCGATTTTCAACCTTAGGTTTGTGTTATGCAGCCATCATCCTTTAATCCTGGTTCTCAGGCCAAGTGGATTGGTGTAGATAAAATGCATAAGTGCCGATTCTGAAATCAGCTGCAGACTCTAAATGACTAAAACCTCCTTGCCGCCTAGATGGAAATCTCCCACCCTGCAATGGGAGGCTGGAAGTGAATAGAATCTGCAAAATCCTGAAATGCTTTGCAAGCACTTTTTAAAACTTTGAGACTTTACATGCAGAATCCAAGGATCAGCATGTACACACCAATCCAGCGGGCACGGATCCTGCTTCCCCCATTTTGATTTGGAGCCAGCAGCACTCTGTGGTTGCCAGGAGTGAGTGAACATCTGTTCTGCATTGGGAAGCTTGAAACAGTTTTGTTCTTGAAAGAGGCTCACCAGCTCTTGTAAAGTTTGAGGGTACCTGCTTGAATAACTCAAACACGCTCTAGTGGAGCTTGACATTTCTCAACCTTACACAAAATTGTTCTTCCATTTTCATCCACTGCAATCTTCCAAGAACCTCCATTTTCCTATAACAATACAGCAAGACAGCAGCAAAAGCCATTTATCAATCTGGAGTCTTAAAAAAAACAAAAAAACAAACAACCCCATATTGTAAAATATGCAGGCATTGCTTGACTCTTTAGCATTTATATAGTGCTTTTGAGCATTCAGAGCGCATAAATAACCCTGCAAATACAATCTGTATCGTTGTCCCCTTGTTGTGGGTGGGACAGCGGAGGCAAAGAGTGGCTTGCCAAAGGCTTCCTTGAATTGAAATGGAGGCTTCGCAACCGAAGAGTCAGCCTTTTAGACAACAAGCCACACCAGCCTGCAGTGCTGCCCCTGTGAGGCTGCTGACCTTGTAGAGAGGACAGATGCAAAGGGGGACAGGGCTGCTGCCCCTTTGATACCTGTGCACAGAGGAAAGTCCTAGTACGGTACTTGTAGCTTCCATGATAAGCTACACTTGCTGAACCCCCTATAATCCACTTTGATTAAATGCCCTCTTTTTCACTCAGCCACCCTATGGCCTTGTGGTTGTTCCTCTTCCCAGCCGGCATGGCCAATGATGGGGTGGTGGCAACATTTGGAGGGCTACAGGTTCATTACCTCGGTGTAGACTGACTATTGTCATAGCATTTCATAACTTTTTGGACTAGCGGTTGTATGGATACTGCTTAAGTTTGGGGCTTTCATTATAAATGTTTGCTTGTGTTTGCTCAACTGTTCCTTCAACCCAGACTGAAAAAGCCCTAGGGAGGAATTCAACAGCATGCTATGGTGTTTGATGCATAATTTTGCCTTGCCAGATGGAATTGTACTTGCTGTTCTGGCAGTTCCCCTGACCCAATTTCAGGGGGCACATAAAGGAGGTGAGCAGGGGAAGAAGCTCCATTGTGCAAGCAGAAGTCCTTGCACAGGGCTTCCACTCTTGGGACTCAGTAACTGAATCCTGCCCAACTGAACCTCTTGACAGTTGAGCGCAGCCTTGACCAAAACTGACAGGTATCTTTTATGTAGCAAAGTAGTAGTGCATATTATATATATCTATATATCTATATATCTATCTGTATCAGATTACTGCACATAATATGCTTGGAGCTCCATCTTGACTAGGGCTGCTAAGTCTGTTATGGGTCACAATCCCAAGTGAATCCCATTGCATTCAGCTGACAAAAGCAAGAAATGGTGCAATTGAAGCAAGAAAGCAAATGGCCCCATTGGATAAGGAATAATAACATGAAAGCAAATTGAGATATTCCCTTAAATTGTTCTGAGAATTGTTCTGTGAGAGGATTGTTCTGATAATTGTTCTGTGAGAAATTCCCTTAAATTGGACTTAACCCCTGGATGGTTAAGTCCAGTCAAAAGTGACTATGAGGTGCGGCACACATCTCGCTTCAGGCCCAGGGAGCCAGCGTTTGTGAACCGAAAGCTTTCCAGGTCATGTGCCCAGTCTGACTAAACTGTTTCTGACACAACAGAACACTGTGATGGAAGCCAGAGCACACGAAAACATCATTTACCTTCACGCCGCAGTGGTATCTATGTACTTGCACTGGTGTGCTTTTGAACTGGTGGGTTGGCAGAAGCTGGGACAGAGCAATGGGAGCTCACCCTGTCACACAGATTCGAACCGCCAACCTTCTGATCAGTAAGCCCAAGAGGCTTAGTGGTTTAGACCACAGCACCACCCACATTCCTTCATAATAACATAAAGACTTATTAGTATCTTATTAAGTCACATTCTAAGGCCATTTTTCATCAATTGTTTTGTGTGGGGATGTTGACATGGTACATTATTTTCATGTTCTGGAGTTAGGTTGTTGAAAATGTATTTGGATTTCCAGTGTTTACTATTATTATTTAAAAGATGTATAGTCCACCCTTAGTTGGTACTGATACCAGGTAGTGCACAATCTGAATAGGGGCACCTCTGATTTACAAGGAGATGCTATCTTCTGTTGAGTTATTCCTCAGAGGCACTTTTGCGGGTCTTCAGGGTAAAGTATTTCTCCAGGATTTCTGAGTAGATTAGAAGCTTTTGTGATTGTGGTAGTGCCTTTGAAAGCTTTCTTCAGTTTCCCTAATACCCAGTAGGCTAAAGAAACCTTTTACATTTGAAACTGAGCAGCCTCTACGGTTAATGTCTGTGATTGGGGATGAACTTTTTGTTGTCTGGGAAACCAACCCTGGAGTGGGATCCCTGCAGTTCACAACAGGGAGGTCAATTGTTTTACCTGAGAGAAATCAGGGAGGGAAAGTGAAAAGGCACAGGCATGAAGGTGGGAAGAAAGCCACAATTCTTCTAATCAGGAGAGAAATTACAGTGAGTCTGTTGAGAACTGAGTCCAAGGAGAGTAGTTGTACCTAGATGTGTGGAAGTGACTTTGGGGGTTTAAGTAAGTGAAGATGACTGTGTACAAGATGATGTCTCCCTTTGCCCAAATATTTTGAATAACAAATGCCTTTGGGGTGGACTAGGTGACCATTTGCACCTACAAAGTTATGCTCCTGCAGCTTGTTGCTATGTGCAAAGCAACTCTCCGTACAAGGAAAATGAAGCGACATAAAACAAATGAGCACTATGCCCTATGGTGGATTTCCATGTGCACACCATTACACCAAACCCACTTTGCCATGTCATGATTCTCACCAAAGAGGTAAACTGGTGATGCTGCTGCACCGCTTCAGATTACGAAGCTACATGGCAGAATGGGTCTCCATGCAAACAAACTAAAAACACTATTAATTTATTACTTGTGTTTTTATACCACCTTTAATTATATTCCGAAAGGTTAGGCTAGGCACCTACTTTTCTGGGGAGCAGGGAGAGAGAATTTTGACTGGAGTTCCTCCCACCCTCCAGTTTGATGCCATGCAGTCCAAAACCCACAAGTTAGCCACCGTGGTGAGGAAGTAGACACCAGCAGTCTTCATCAGCATCTTAAACAACCTTCAGCCTTTTTGGACCCATGTTCAGTACTTCAAGACCCACGTTTTAGCATCTATTTGTATAGTGGTAATTCTGCTCTCTCAAGCCACCTTAGGTCAAGCTGCAACCCTGTAGAACAGGTGTGGCTAACCTGTGGGCCTCAAGATCTTGCGGAACTCCAGCTCCCACCAGGCCTAGCCAGCATGACCACGATGTGAGTTGTAGATCAACAATACACGGTGGACCACAGGGATGCAGTAGAGGGTCCTGGCTTAGGGTGGGCAGATGGAAAAGAGGGCAGGGCTTCTCCACATTTAACAGTTGTCTGGAATAAGGAATTTTAGCTTGTATGACACCTCCTGAAATTCCCTCTTCTACACAACTGTTACAAGGACACAAAAGCTGTGTAGGCATTACCCCAGTCACTTGAAGGCTACCAAACCAAAACATGCAATGAAAAGGAAAGTTGCAATGATAGTAACTTTGCAATTTATGCAATATTTTATGCATTTGTAACATCTGTGTTGCTACACAATATAGGTGTGTCAAACTGATAGCTTTTTGTCTAATGTATTTATTTTAACATGTCCCCAAATCAACAAAGAATCATAATGTTTTTATCATATTTAGGGTTGCACATATTTAAAGTACTGTACAAACAGTAGTGATAGCAGTAATTACTCAGCAAACCATTAGTTAGTTTAAATGATTAATGGCACTTCCCATCTTTCCCTAGAGGTATCAAATGCATTCTGCAATGTGGAGGCAAATTATTACTCTGATTAGGCTGCATTAAGGTTAGAAATATGGTCCAGGATGGGAAAAGCTAGCATTATAGATCGAGAAAAAATACTTGGGCTTCTCCTTCACAGTATAAATTTGTCACTGATTTTCAGAATGATCATAATCCAACTATGCAACCCCTAGGGTGTTGTCATACAAGCTAAAGCTGCTGAAATTCCCTCTCCTATTAAAGGTGCAAGAGCGCTCTCATCATTTGCATCTGCCCACCCTAGAGGACAGATGCAGCCCCTCTGAATATTCAAGAAATGTAGGCGGTATTGCCAACATGTGGGACACAGGCTGCTAGAGTGTCCGGGAAGTCAAGGAAGACGAGGCTCTTGTATCTTTAATTGTTGTGTAGGAGAAATAATTTTGGCAGATACAGCTTTTGTCATGCAAGCAGGGATGAGAAAAATGGTGCACTGGCTGAAATTGTCCCCTATTAAGGTATAGAATTCCTGCCCTGCCCAGATTTGGTTACTGTCCTGGCTATAGTAACACATTTAAAGGTGGAAAGAGAATTGGAAATAAGGTTTTGTGGATTTGATCAAAACCAGTCAGGGATATTCATACTGAGATATTTTGCTTCTTTGTTTTCCTGTTGCAATTTTATTTTGAGCTGTGCTGTAAAACCAAATAAGTGTTTAATTGCATTTTCTCCTGCTTCTCCTAGTTGACAGTAGAATTTCTGTCAGTGCAAGTATGCAGTATATGGGTCACATACGGCAGGAGGCAGTGTTTTAAATGTCTAGACCCCAAGCTTTAGAGGTAAGAATTGAGCCTGGAAAGGAATAGGCAACTACTTTGATCAATTTTGGCACAGCAATCAAAGCTGGTAAAAGACACCTGGAATCCCCTTTGCCACCTGAAGCCCTGGATCAAAGTGTGTCCCAGACTGCAGACTCAACTCTTTGGGGGGGGGGGAGGAAGGGTAATGTCCAAAACAAAGCAGAACCCCAATTTCCAGACTGATCCCTCCCAGGAACCAACCGTACCTCCATAATATATGGATTAAGTTTATTTTATTTGTTTTAAGTTTCAGCTTGTTTCATCCCATCCAGTTCTTCATGGCCAATTAGGTTGTGATTGTTTTAAAACAAAATAGCAGGGAAAATCATGAGGAATTGGAAGCATCAGCCGGTAGGTGTGGAGATGATGAAAGACACCAGAGACATTGTTTGCTGGATAACACACTTTATATTTAACAAAATAATTTTTTAATAATATATTTTTTTTCAATATTGTATTCTAGAATCCCATTTTTTACAGTAGAGTGTTTGTTTTTGTTTTCACTAGTTTTCAGGCACACTATTGTTTAAAGGTGTAAAAAAAAAATCTGGCTCCTTGCTGACAGGCACCCTCTTAGCAAAAGTCCTACTAAACAACCCCCTGCGTTTCAGCAACTGTTTGAGTACACAAGTTGGTCTCTGCAAGTGGGATTTGGCATAGCTGAGGCTGGGGGCACCTAGCTGATGATCTGGCCCTAATGGTCTGGCTTGTGTGCACTGTTTGCCCACCTGATGCCCTCCAGATGTTTTGGACTACAATTCTCATCAGCCCCACCCAGCACAGGGGCTGATGGCAGTTCTGGTCCAAAATACCTGGAGACCATGAGGCTGGTGAAGACTGATCTAGAAGCTTAGCTCTGCCTTCCTCCAGAGCACCCACCATGACTCCCATATCATGGTATTCATTTGCACACTGACACACATGCTTTGTAACCTTTGAAATTGTTTGACTTAATGGAAAAGTATGTGCAGAGGGATTGAGGTCAGGATCTGCCAATCATATGATTTTCAGACAGGGAATAACTCCCCTGAGTCACCCTGGGTGGGCAGACTTGCAAGCATGGTTTGAAGGCACATGATAGAGCATCATTGCTAGAGCTAAGCAGGTCTGGATCTGGTTAGTGCCTGGATGGAAGAATGCCTGAGACCACCTTGATTTCCAGTACAGAAAGGCAGGATGTAAATGAAATTAATAACCTAACTTGTTGGAATGGTTAAGAAGCATGGCTGGCCCCTGCAAATTGCAACACCATTTCTGGTGGGTTGAAGTTCACACTGCGCCAGGAAGCCAGTCTAGATGATTTCTAGATGTTTGCAGCTGTATGAATTTGTGGTAAGAATGCACGGTCATTCAAACAGGGTGGTGTAAGTGTAGCTAGGTTGTCGTTTGAGGTATGACAAATGAAGTGATTCCACAACTTTACTCAATCTGGCAGTCCTCCCCATGTGCAAAAGCCAGAAACAATATGGGACATGACCTGTGTGCCCTTAACTGCACAGTGCAAGAGCCCTGACTGCTACTGACGCTATCCAGCCACCCATGTATTTTGATGGCCATGAGGAGGGGAAACTAATGATCTCCATCTCTGCCTCTCTTATCTTCATCATGCTTCAGAGAGAGTGTGCAGGATATAAAGACATTGTCTCATCAGGGAAGTGTACAAGGTGCAGACCCTAAGATGGCTCCTGTGGTTGCAGAAACCCACCCACCCATTCAGAAAAAGAACCTAGTCCAATCTTTCTGGGGCTGAATCATGGCAGCTGCACGTTTATAGGTTTTCCTCCCACATATGAAAACCTGCTTGCATGCCTAAAGTGTGATGGCTGGGACAGAACCCATCTCCCTGGCATGCTAGCTTTCTGCTGGTGCAGGGAAGCATCTATACTGGCCCTCTAAAGTGGTGTACCTTGTGCTTTTTCTTAAATATGTAGAGCAGCCCTCGGAGAGGCACAAAACAGGGGAAATGGTGGTATACAAGAACATTCAGGTCCATTTTCAGTTATGAGGAGGGTGCTCTTTTCCTTGGAGAAAAAAATGGTAGTGTTTTGCAGTGACCCCTGAAGTGGTCAAATTCCAGGAAAAGGCTCTTTGCTGCTACTCACAGTGGTCCTGCGTAGCAGTTGGCACTCTCCGGCTCCAAGGGTAGCTGCTTTCTAAAACTTGCTTTGTGGTGCATTCAAGCTTCTGTGCCTCAGTAAATTATTTGGACAGCTCTTAGTGTGCCTGTGCTTTGATGGATCCCAGCCAATTGCATTTTTTCTTTCAGTCCCCCCCCCCCCCGCGCCCTGCAACCCCAATAGGACATAGTACCGTAGTTCCTTAATAATAGATGGGCCGCTATACTTCATGGCTCCACTTAAGGTTTTCATAGTGTTTCAAACGCCTAGGTATGTCATTTATTTTTTATTCCAGGGAATGAGAATGCTCAGGCCTGCAGTGGTCTTAGCTCACTTGTGTGTAGAAAGGGGGTTGGGGTTGGGAGAATGAACAAACCACAGAAGGCATTTCTCAGTGAATGGCAAGTGTGGAAATGTTTCTTTCTGCTCTTTGTGGACATGAATAAATCACAAAGAGGAGTGAGGGAGGAGGGAAGCAGCTCATGAATGATTTACAAATGCGCGTTTGTGAATTAATGGCCACAACAGCAAAGTGCCAACTTTGCTGCAAATTGGTGTATTAGAGAAGGGCTGCCTGATATGATGCAGGATGATGAGGGCCACCGCTGGCTCTGGCTGAGGAAATAAACTTGCCAAGCATCCAGGGAAGCTGTCCTCAAGGTACCTTGAAGTCTGCCTCTTTGCCTGCCTAGCAGTGCCCTCCCACACCAGAACCCCTTGCTCTCTGCCATGGGAAAAGGTTCTGCAGGACAAAACCTGCCCTCGTGGTCCAGTTCCTCTAAATGTAATGGAACGAAGCACCAGGTAAGTACTACTGAAATATATGAAAAGTTGAGATGGGTGAATTCATCAGTTTGGGTTTCTCTCTGTTTCTCATTTTGGTTTGCCCTGTTTCTGGGCATATATGCTTTTTTGAAGTCCACATGGAACTGTGTAGGCACATGTCCAAAAACATGTACATGCACATCTCCCATCGTATGCATATTTGTAACTAGCTTCGCCATTTAATGCATGTTGCAAGTAATTTCCCCCTAACAGAATGCATTTTTGCAGGTTATTTTCAATAAAATAGACATTTTTTGGTTATACATTCTTTGGCTGCAGAAACTGTATTGCAGATTTCAGAGAAGTCCAAATTTCAAAGGGCAGCTGCATTTCGGTTTAAGCCCCGCTGCTGTCCCACTGCCTCCCTTACCCAGGTTGTGAAGCAGCAATGGCAATGGTGGGTTCTGGCAAGATCTCATGTGCTCCATGAGTTCTTGCGAGATTTCAGTGATATTTCATGAGCTCGTGCCAGAAACTGGCACCACTTCTCTGCTAGCAATGGCAGCAGTGGGGAGCAGGGCATCTGCTGGGGTGCTGCCTCTGGGGCTTCTGCCACCCAAGGCAGCTGCGTCACCCTGCCTCATAAGTGAGCCTGCCCTGGCAGGATGAAGTGACTTGTCTCAGGCACACCTCTAAAGAGTGGAGGAAATATATGAAGTCAGGAATTGGTGTCCAATATGATTCTTTAAAGTGTTGACTTTAAACTGCTTTAGGCAGCCAAATATCTTGGGTGGGCACTGGGC